CCCCAAAACCCCAAAACCCCAAAACCCCAAAACCCCAAGGTAATCAGATACAGTTGAAATTGGTTAATATTGAGATCGTAAATTTCTATTTGTAGGTGATGGAGCATCAAGTATTTCTGAATCATCCTCAAAATCAATTGGCCTATTTTTATCTATAATATTGAGAATGTGAGAGAATGTCCTACCTTTTGCCCTTTTACTAACGATTCCAGATATATTCCTCTGTTGAAAGAATTCGTAAGCTCCTTCTTGTCCAAAAGTAAAAGGGTCATTCATATTTTTTACACTATTTTCAACATCTTGGATTCTTGGTGTAACCTGTTTGTTTTTATTGTTCTTTCTTAGGTTTTCTTTCGAATAATTTTTTTCTTCTTTGGATTGACTAATTTCTTCTTTGGTATTTGTTCCTTCTCAAAATCTGAGTCGGGAAGCTTAGGTCTTGGGGTGTTCTGACACAACATTATTTTATAAATCTTTAGAAATCCAACAAAGTATTTGTTTTTGTAATTCAAATATTGGCAGACATTGTATCCCCAGTGTAACAAGAAATATGCATTTATGCCCATCAATAAGAGCAAGCTGGCTATTTCTAAAGATTTAAGAGCTCTTTCTTGTGGGATGAACACAATCCCTCAATAGAGAGTGATTAAGCCAGCAATAATTCCAATGATCTCTATCCTATTGTTCTCTGGATTTTTGTATGGCTTCAAGCGTTCCTGCACCTTCATCATGATTATGAGGGAAACTATGTGGTTACAAGGGAAAACTTACTAATGGCTCATAAAATTTTGTATTTGGGATCAGCTGTTGACAGAAACACATTGAATGCAAGCACTATGAATTTCCTGAAAGTGTTGAATATCTCCCAGTAAAAGCATTTGCTTTTTAGTCCTTGGTAGACTATGAGAAAATATTTTTGAATTGTTTCTTTTTCCAGTTTGTTGCGATTTTTATATAGGATTACAAACAGAAGAAATGGCATTCCCGCCACCCAAATGAGAATCATTGGAAGTCCCCCAATGAATATCCATTTGAGATGTTCTCCAGAGTATCACTGAGCATCAATGTACATGATCATTCTGGATTCACCATCATCAATTTTGATGCATTGGAAGACCTTGAGAGATTGGAAGATCAAAGTTGGATGGAACAAGAACATTATACAGATGAATGAAATTGTGAAAAGTCTCTTCATATCATATTGGTTCTCTGGCTTCAACATTTTCATGAACAGTCTCCAAGCAAAGATGCCTATTGATACCAATAAGAATACAAATAGAGGAAGGATGAGGTACAGCATCATTTTGAAGAGAGCATTTGAAGGAGCAAACAGCTTGACTTCGTAATCCTCAATAAAGCAATCAAATGAAAAGAAAGAATATTCTGCTGAACTGAGTCTATCACTGAGAGAGAAAAGATCATTGAATGATTTTGGAAAATCAATGTTATATGAGATCGATGCAGAAATTAGCTGGATGTAATTTGTAAATATCCTTAAAAGAATTGAAAGTTGGTTTTCAGTCTTTTTCTTGAAATTAACTACTATTATTAATCCAAGGAAAGTCAATACGAGAATTTGAAGACCAATAACTCTGATAGCATTCATCAGCTTATTAGGACATTTTCCTCATTGAAAATTTGCTCTAGGCTGATACTTTACTTCTTCTGTTGTTACTCATTCAATACATAGTGGGCCAGTATATCCTTCCTGACATTTCACAGGGTACTCATTTTCAGGATGATATCCTCCTTCTCATGATTCCTTTCTTGGGCATTCAATAACTGCTGTGGTTATTTCACTCTTTCTCCAATAACCTTTATCAACTGAAATATCTTTCTTTCCAAATCATTGAGCATTATCCATTCAATTATTGCATTTAGTAGCATTGTTTTGTAATGAATAAGTCAGAGCACTACATTCTATGCACCTCTCATTCAGTTGCATTTCACCAGGAATTCAGTACCTAAAGTCAACCAGGAAACTTGTGGTGTATTCATAAATGTTTACATCTGAAATGTTGTAAATAGCCTTTTTGTTCCGAACTTTATTAGACTCCACATGAAACCTCACTCCTTGAGATCCAGGGGGAGCAAGCAGTGTAATATCGGTGAATACAGCTGTTCCGTTCAAAATTGGAACTCTGTCATTGCCAAGGATTCCTTTCGAGCTAGAGTTTTGTCCAGCAATATCTGAGTATGATAAAGTAATGAACCCATCGCTTAATTGGTTCATTACATTATGTTCAGGGTCAATAACTTTTAAAGTGATATTCTGAGTCAGAGGAATTCCACTCCCAACATTGTAAATACTCATGAAAGTTGAGTTTGTCTTTTCAAAGATAATATCAAGAGCATAGCTTCCAATATCGGCCCCATAAGGAGCAATGTTGGAGTCGAAGCTCACGTTCGACAGAATGGGAGGGTAAGTATTGTAATTTATTCCGCCTCCTTGAATGTAAGCAATGTTGCCAATAAATGAAGTATTGGAGATGTAGTTGAAGCACTTTTCACCTATCACTCATGTTATACTAATGGCTCCTCCAGTTTGAGCTTGATTTTCTCTGAAAACTCAATTTTCGATGGTGACGTTGCTTCTTCTAATAATAATTGAACCGCCAGCACGCTGGCCAGTGAAGCCACTGGTGGAGAAAGAGCTAGATGTGATGTTATGAGCAACTGATTCAAAAATTTTGAAACCTCTGAGAGCGTTAACGATAGTAATGTTCCTGGCTAACTCTAGAACACACTTCTCAATGAGGAAAGGTGAACACCCAATATCTGTAATAAAGATGTCTTCAAGAGTTTGAATATAAGATTTCTCAATAATATACAGAGGAACACTAAGTTGAGTAGTTTTGACAAGGATTTCCTTCATTCTTATTAATGGGCAAGACCAAAGCCACAACATGTTTTGGGTGTATAGGAAACTTGATAATGTAGTCAGGTTTGTCATTTCAATTGAGGAAAGAGAACCAAAAATCACAGGAATATGAATGTTTTCAAATTGACTATGCCTTATTATCACATTAGAACTAATAGATCTTATGATAGAAGAATAGTCAACCATATTCTTTTTGATTGTCTTCAACTTGATACTATCGAGTAAGACTATATATTAAGTTTATTAGAAAATATTTACCGTTTGACTCGATAATATCAAAGAAGTACCATTCTGTAAGAAGATCTGAGAAAGTGCTGTTGTAAATATTCACAGTTGAGCCCATTGAGAAAAGAACACCCTCAGTTTGCTCAATCCTTGAGTTGTTAGTTATTTCAAGTTGACCAATTTCGATGCTAAAAAGAGCCTTTTTGGTTCTCTGCTCAAAAAGAGATGATGAATTTTTAATAAAATCTCTGAAGGATTGTGGAATATAATCTAAAGGATTAGGTCTACTATATACCATAGTTGAGTACTTCATTGAGAACTTGTTCTTTACTCACAACAAAATTGTTCTTTATCGTACAGTTATTAACCAATGAGCTTTTATCAGATTGAGTTACAATCCCTACAGATGCAATGTATCCAAAATTATTTTCAATGTGTGAGTCCATGAAGACAAAATTTCCTCCTAAAGATGTTGAGACCACTCCACTCTCCAGCCCAAAATTGTTAGTCATGTTACACCTGAGACAAGTGAGAGATGCTCCTGTGTCAACATTGAACAGAGCTGCTGTTGGAGTGGTGTTGTTATAGAACTCAGAGTCTGAAATGGAGACATTAGAATGCTTTGCCAATACAAAGATGAAAATCCCTCTCCAAATATTGGTATTATGGTAGAACTTTGAATTAGTCACTAAAATGTCTGATGTCCCTTGGATTATGATAAAGTCTCTATTTGATGTTAGAAACTTACTTACACAGTGGTAAAATCCATGTTCCTGACTGTAATATTATGAAAGGCAACCTTGGTTTTGATATGGTATGTTGGATCATGAGGAAGAGTCTCTATCATAATGTTCTTGCATTCTTCAAATATAGAGTTCCTAATCTCGACTTGTTCATTTGTTTGGTGATGAAATTCGATAATTCTTGAGAATATTGACGCATCAATTGCAATGCTATCATATAAGACATTACCTTCATCATCATAAGGAATCTCATTACTTGTGATACCAAAAATGATTCTTCTCATGACGAGGCCGTCAAAGATGACTTTGAAAATACCTTGGGAATTAATATCAAACAAATGAATCATTTCTTCTCTTCTTCTATTAATGACATCTTGAACTATAAGTCCTTTGACCAAGATATATTGGTCAATATCTTTTCTCTGGGAAGGATTTGACAACCATAAAGTATTTACAACTGAATTTGTTGTAATCATAGAATTTATTGTGATATTATTCGAGATTTCAGATGAAATCTCTTTGAAATTTAGAATCACTCATGATACATCTTCTAAAGGCTCAGGTAGTAGATTAGTAAACACCATATCATTCAGGGATGTATGGTTTGATTTTAGCAGCTTAATGTACGAAGAATCTCTATTAGCATTGAATGAAGTAATATTTAGGTTGGAAATTGTCGTGGCTCCAAAGGTATTAGATAGCTCGAAAAGAGTCTTCCTGTTCATCATTATTCCTTCTGATATTGTGATGTTAGAGATATTTATATCACCAGATTCAGATATTTCCATTTTTAGAAGAGTGTGTCTTTGAGAAGAGATAAACTGAGTGTTTGTAAAAACTATATTGGACACACTGATAGTATTCTTGGCTACGATATCACAAAGCCCTCCATCTCTGATAGTAATGTTATCGAATTGCACATTCTCCATAATATAATCTATTTATGATTAATATGAATTTACTTTTGCATCCAATATTAGTGATGTCTCCAGTTTTGACTAAATTTTTCCCAAGAATAAGGTTGGCAAAGTTGCTGTTCTTGAGGACAAAATTGATGAACCCATTATGATTGATGTGGATCGGGGTAGAATATTTCAAGTCAAAGTCTTTGATAGTGAAGTTGTCGAAGATTATGCTGGTGGCCCACTCTCCATCTCCTCTCCTGCACAGTTAGAACAAGAGCTTACTCAAATTTAAAATTAGATGATGGCTGAAGGAATGAAGGAGTGAATTCAGGAGACACCATTGCTGAGTTTGTGATGGTGATTGAGTGAGTGGGAGCATCTGATCATGAAGCTTGGTCTAAATGGCTGAAGAAAGATCCTGACAAGTCCAGCTCCCCATAAGTTTGGAATATAGAGTTTTTTATCGTGATAATGTCTCCTCCTTCTTGGATAAATAATGGAGGAGTTTGCTTTAAATTTCTTTTGAAATCTAAAAATAGCATGAAGAGAGAAACTGTAAAAGGACTTACTCTGTGAGTAATAAAGTCTTAATCCGTCGAGTCAAGTTGTTGACTGAATATCTGAGTTGAAACATCCAAGAGAAAGATCAAAACCACCTGATGATTTGTACAAGTCAATCTCAGTGTCAAGAATCTCCAAGTTCATTTGGTGACTAGTCTTGACAAACAAACTTTGGTGGAGCACCTTAGAGTTGTGTATTTTGAGAGTCTTGCTTCCCAAGTAAATTGGATTCAGATATATCTTTGAAGCTTCTTCAGAACTGAATCCAGTGGTGATATACAAATTGTTCAGAGTAAGGCTAGTTTTGTAGATGTATAAGATAGAATCCCCAGTGAACATCAATGTCTTGTCAGCTGATGAGATTTTGGAGTCATTGGTGATTTCCTGAGTGGTGTTGTGGCTTTCTAGAAGAGTGAGAATAAGGTCTTACTTATCAATTTGAATAGAGTTGGTGAAGTGTACTCCTCAGGAAGAGCCTCATCAGTGTTGGTAGCAACAAGTCTATTGATTAGAGGCAATTCCTACTTGGCTTTTCTTGGAACTGTTGAAACTTCACTGTAAGACTCGATGATGACTTCATTTAGTTCGATAATGAACCTATTTTGATGAACAAAGTTGGTGCTATCTTCTATTAACTTTATAGTAATAGTCCTATCAGAATGAGAATGAACTAAATAAATATCCTCTAGGATCAATTCAAGAGACTTGTATGGATATTTTAATGTCCCAAGCTCAGTTGGACATCCTGCAAATGGGTTTAGATAGTAAGTAAAAGATCTACAGAAAGGGAAATCAGAGATTGTCGTATCGTTTATCAAAATTCCTGTTTCTGAATTTCATGATTCCACACATTGAAATCTATCCAGGTTAAATACTTTGCTATCAGGTCATTGGTATCACATTGGCTGATGAGAACACTCTTCCAATCAACTTGTTTCACATTCGAATCACTCTTCTTTCTGGATCGAATAGAATTGGCCTATTTCAGAATGTATTAGCGACTCATAACTCTCAATTAAGCAAATTACGATCTCTTACCTTGACTACATTCAGGAAATTTGCAAAGGTTTGAATCTGGAGGCTCTATAAAAATGAACAATTTTGATAAATTTTGTGAAAATTTAGCCTAAGTTTTATAGAATTTTGTCCAAAACTTACTGATATAATTCTTGTCTCACACATCACATTTGTCATACTGTGTTCACGTCTTACAACTAGGATGGCATGCTCTGCAGCCAAATTCATCCTCATAATACCCACTGGTGCACTACACCCAAATTATTTCACCTCAAAATCTCCCTAATCCATACACGAACAAAATCAGATTTTTCAATAAATTTCTTAAATTTAAAGCAATCCGAACGCAGAAAGGGGCCAGCCTGAATCTCAAAATTAGGATTGAGTGGGCTAAGGAGCAGTCGGAAAATTTAATTAGGAAGGAACAAGGGAGGTGGGAAGGGAAATTTGGGGGATTAAAGTTTGTAAGGGGAGGAGATAGGTGTAGAAAGGGACAGAATGTGCAGTTATTACGCAATTTAGAAATTTTCGTAAAACTTCGGGAGGGCTAGAAGACTCTTAAAAGACTTATTGTCTCTCTTATTTGGTCAAGATTTGCTGCGCTTATTTGATTTCCAATACTATGAAAAATTTATAGATGGATATCACCAAAAACTGTAAAATTTATTCTGGAATAATAAACTTTTAGTTGAAACATTAGCGATATTTCTGGAACTAAAATTTTACAGGACGTTCAACTTCTCGGAACAAGTTCAAACGATAAAATAAGAAGACCAACAATTTTTAGATTTTGAGTTTCTATCATTAAAATGAGGGGTATATCAAAATTATTATACTGATAATCTAAGTGATGTAATAACCTAATGCTTTATTATTTAGCTTTCTTACATAATAGAAAATCAAAAATTACACTGATGTCATGCTAAAATGCTCAGATTTAATCCTTCAAGATTACTGATGCCTTATTCTTGCTTCATTGGTGCTGTTAAAGTCCAATTCGGCTGTTTAACAAGTGAAGCAAAATTTATTGTTCACCACTTTCATAACTAATAGTACCCAAATTTATTTTAGAAATTTTAAGAATGATATAAAGCTGCTTTTGTAGCATAAAATAAGGTTGAAGAAAGAGCGTTGCTCCTAAAAAATTCATCCATTAATTACTAGACTTAACCTCTTTAGTTTTTAAGTGATGAATGTTCAAGCATATGGCCTTTGTTAATGATAATTTTTCAGTTAATGCTTTAGATATAGACTGTTTGAGATATAGGCTGCTTAATTTAACTCTCCTAATGCAAGAATTTCTTATCCAAAATTCATACAAAACCAGTCTTAATAATCATTTATTTATGAACATTTTCTAGAAACTTTACATGACGAGAAACTTTCATAATACAAGAGAAACAATTCACCCCCTCAAAATCACAAAATTCTCTAAATTTTCTTCACCTCAACCTCACCCTCATACCACCACTCGCAACATTAATCCAACGCAGCCCCTAAGCCTCCACCTCCTACCCTTCCCCTCAACTATCTCCCTAACCCACTCCTCTACTTACCTCCATCGCCTTCATAACCAAAACTACTCCAACCAGTATCCAAATCCTGAGCCAAATTCCTGCTCTCAAGCCCCAAATTCCTTCCCATTGGTCTTCCATTTTCATTTATTTTATTACTATTGGGGTTTTGGGGTTTTGGGGTTTTGGGG